GGTATTTTTCTATTTCTCCCCCCTATGTTCAACTACTAAAACCATGTTCTTTAATTCTTTTCTTAATTACGGTACTTAAAAAAAAAAAGTTTTAATTTTAATTTGTCTCAGTAAATAGTATTAGAATTGAATCTTCACTGAAATGCACAAAACTCTGGGCAGATGCAGTCTGGTAAACATTCAACACTAGTACCTATTTTGTATAGCATTTTAATTACATACTCACTGCTGATAAAACCTGAGCAAAAAATACCAAACAAATGAAAGATGGAGCTGAAAAAAGTATGTATGCATCAATTAGAATGTTTGTCTTTTCGGGTATTGTTTTAATACACATTATTGAAAACCGAGGATGTAGTTACCGATGAAAAATATATATAAATAAAAGGTTTCTACTGAGATGTTTCCCAAAAGAACGGATATTTGATCTAGTTATTTCTTACAACTGAAGATTTACCGGAAATATTTTCTCAGGAGTAAACATTGAAATTATTACACTACACTGAAATGTGCAACATAGATCTAATTTTAGGCTAACCAGACATCTCTGAAATGTTGACTTCAATATCCAATTCAATAAATGGGGAAAACTGTATTAATTCACTTAAACTAATAATCTGCCATAACAAACACTACAAATTAATCTGAATTCCTCATTTTTGTACTTATTGATATTTTACAATGGATTATTTTGTAATTGTATACACTAATTAATACTCTATACAGAAATTCACTGTATTGTATCATTTATGATATCCTTACTACTGAGGGTTGACAACTACACTTCTCTAGTTTTTTATCCCTTGCTGTCTGCACCAATTATTCTAATTCAAGCTTTTCATCTCCAGTTATTTCCTAACCAGTCTTTATTTGCATCTTGTTCTTTTTCTTTGAATTTTTATCATCAATGTGTGTGTGTGTGTGTAAACCCTCTATCGCAATATACAAGTTGCAGCAAACTGAGATGTAAGTGTTGCACCTCTCCCCCAAGTTTACTCCTTCTAACCTCATACTTTAAGTTATAATCCAAAGACTCATTTTATTCATTGAATTTGGGCAAAGCTATCTCTAAATTTGAAGTGATACACTAAAGAGAAGCCAACCAGTCAACAACATCCACCACCACCAACCTTTGGACTGCTATAATTGAATAGTTGGATGTGATTGTTACTCTTATAATACACATATATGACCCAAAAGTGCAAAGTGTAATTATTTTTCTGGTGGTAATGGGGCACGAACCGCAGAAACTCAGATACATAGTTTGCCATGCTAACTGCTGGGCCACTCTCAGCCTCCAAAGAATCATAATCAAAGAACATATAATGAATAGCTTAAATTCTGTTCTACTGTCATTATTCTTCTAAAGTATCTAACTTGTGAGAAGAAATATCTCATGATTAAGCATTGCAATTTGCTGAAACCAGTAAAAAGTAATTAAAAATTATTAAAGGAAAAAATCTGCATTAAATTTTCTCTTATTATTTTTGAGTTACATAATAAAATTACCAGATAACAACTGGTGTATAAATACCACAATTGTTTTCATGGACATGGGTAACTAGGTGCACAGAACAGATGTTTTAATGAACCTTCATTTTTTGTTTATGACAAACTATCTTATTCAAAAGTTCCTTTAATGGAAATATACAGGTAAACCTTTTGTGAGGAATTACACAGTTAGTCTTGAATACAACAATTTTAAATCCTTTGCACTTAAAAAAATAAGTAATCTAAACATTATTTTGAACACCCCTAAATTAATACAATCTGGACCTAACCAGTTTACACTGACAACACACTTTTCTATTTCACTATAACGTTTTCAAGTTTATAAGATTAACTTTACATCATAAGCTTTATACCTCTTCTCAAATAATTCAGGGTGTTAAAATACTTTTAAATAGGATTTCAGTTGTACCATTTTAAAGTTAAATTAAGCCACAGTGAGGTTTTTAGGCTTAAGGAAACTATTATATTGCAAAACCTCTCACTGCGATGGATATACATGATATTTACTATGTTTTAGGTATAAAGTATAAAACAGTATAAATTATATGTCTTTCAATATATTTATATTTTATTGATGATGTGTTGCCATAGGAAGCAAAACCGTTGTTAATGTTACATATAATAAACAGTTTGTATGTGTATACACACAGTACATAAAAACAGCTAGTTACTTGACTCATTATACAATTTCTTTGATTTGACATAATCAAAAACAATTAAACAGTTGCTGTGTTATTTCAGGAAGAAAGATAAGAATGAACCAGTTGTTCAGCAGTCTTCACAGACATACGTACAAACAAACGTTGGCATAGTTTACATTATGAACTACGAGTATTACAACCATTCAAGTTTTTAACCATATTTCCAAGTTCATTGATTACTTCATAGGAAACACATAAGTAGAAAGATTTTAAGTTGGCTGAGTGACATGTACACAAGCCTTTAATACAAAAATTAACCCATATTGGACTGGTTTAATATATAATTTTACACTGTATCACAAATAATGATTATTCAAACTACTGGAACTCCTTATTTTTGTTTTGTTACGCATTTATTTCAAAGCAGGTTTCTCAACCGTAATTTACCAAACAAGATCTTATTGCAACACAAAAAAAAACTTTCAAGAGGTGTCAACTGAAAGCCAGTTAAAAAGTAAAGAAACTAACATTTATGTATTATGTTTGTCAAATCCAAGATAACTGAGCATTTCCCATTTACAAAACACTTTACACACTAATCTAATCTCCTAAATGTTTTAATTACAAAATGTAGAATTTGACTACAGATTTTTTGCACTTAGAGTCACTCATAATATTTTTAAAAATTGTTATTTTTGTATCCTAAAAAATTATAAACAACAATAAAAAATACTGAAAATAACTGTTTCAATAATTTTTAAGTACAAGTTTGAAACAAATTATCCAAAATGCCAAAACAATACAAATATTGTGATGTCTTAATTGGCATCACATTGAACTAACACTAACTGCCTACAAAGAAATATTTAAAACAGTCTTTTTTTTTCCCCTTTTAATTCTATTTATTGGCATCACTGTCAGTAAAGAAAACTTGAATAATAAATGGATATCTTATCCCAATTGAATGGCATTATGTCAGTGAACAAAATAATCTTAAGACACAAACTGGCAACATCTATATTTACACTTGAATGGCATTAGGCTATTACACTAACAACTGCCAACAAGCAAATTTTAAGGCATAGATTTATTTTTATTTCAGTTTTTGGACTTCTATAATGCCACATTTCTATAGCAATATCTGCCGACTAAGGCACGTACTGACCTCTGCCTTTCTTTTTGAGAGCAGAAACATGTAGTGGTATTAGGATAATGTAACTTGAATTAATTGCTCTACATTAAAAACATGTGGCTATTTTGAGTTTTGTTAATTATTTTAACTCACAGAAGGAATCAAATAACAAACTATGAATGGTTCCACTCATCTTCTCTAGTAAGCAAATAAGAATAATTTTTATTTTTATGTCCATAGGCTCATCCTAGTACACTTTAAAAAAAAACAACTTAAACAATTATGTCACAAAAATTTGTTAATCATTAATTTAAGTTTTTATTGCATAAAATAAAGCACACATTTATCAATGTGAAATTTAACAATTCATAACTAATTTATTTAAAAACCAAACTGACTAAAATTTCATTAGCCTTTGATATTCTTCGTGTATAATGGTTTATGTTTTCCACATAAGAACATCTCTTTTTTGCAGATTCACAAGTCCATCAAGAGAATTCCATTAACACTAAAACAATCAATGATATTTCTAACAAGATAACGTTATTGCTTTTTTGCCTAAACAGAGAATAATTTGAGAACTCTTGTTAGTTTTCTGAATACATTTAGTGTATTTGTCAAAAACATTTTAGCCCTAGGCACTTTGATGACATTTTTTTGAGCTTCAGGTAGTAGTGTGTATATAAGATGGAATTTAAAATTCCAAAATCTCCTTAATATCTTCTTAGATATAAAGAAATTGTTTGAGACCATTGAAAAAAAGAGTTAACTCACTTGGAAAAATTACCCATTGCTAATATATGAAAATGGTATTTTAGTTTTCCAAGTTGTAGAGCATATTTCTCACTTCTCTCATTTTTCACAAATGTAGCTAGTTCAAGGTATGAGTGATCCAAATTTGGACAATAACTAGTCAAAAAAAGGTGCTATAGGTAGAAAAATGCAATTCACAATGACAAATGTAGTTAAGAGAACTTAAGGAGTTGAAAAGGTGAAAGTGCTTACAAATGAAAGGGCAGAATAGAAAAACATGTACATTAAATGACTTTTCTAGCTTTATATAATTTCCTGCAGTTAATTCCACTTTATATTTTTTAATTATTAAGTTTTTTTTTTGGAATGAAGTTGAATACAAAAAAAGACAGAGAAAATTAACATGATAAAGATCAAAGCAACATATTTATGATGGTTGTATATCTACCCCAAATGTTTGGTTTCTGACTCTACAAAATTACTTTTAGTAGTAACTTAACTTCAATATTAATGTGGTTTTCCAGTCTTTAATGTAGTCACACTCCCCTATGATACTCTCACTCTCAGCACATAATTTACTTTGGTTGTTTGTGTTGTGCTTTAACAAGAAAGAAAGATACATGACAAAAACTGTTTCTTTCTTCTGTTATACACATTTTTCAAATCTTGGATTTTTCCGTCGAATACATCACTTCTTACGATTGAGTTGTAGTGGTGTTCCTTATAACATATCCACTGGAGATCCAAGGGCTGCACTGTGATAAATCTTTGTCCCAGTCTTTCACTTTTTTATTCAAATGTCATCAAATTTGCTGGAGGCTATAAAACATCAAATTAAAAAACTCAGTATATATATATATATATTTATATATATAAGTAATGTATAAAAGACATAATACTGAAGTAGAATGGTGATATGTACCTTAATACATTCCTTTATTTGCTCACTAACATTTGAAGTTATAGAAACAAGGGTAAATGAACAATAAAAAAAGTATTGGAAGATACGTGTTCAAGCCCACAAAATCTCACCGTATACAACCAGTTCTAGAAAGGTAGCTGATCCTAATAAACCATAAAAACAATATAATAAAACAGTTTACAACAAAGGGTTAACTGAAGGTGACAAGTACAAACTTATCTCCCAATACTGGCATTCCAGCCCATAATAGTCACATATCTGTAAGAACAGTATAATGAAACATAAAATGTACCAGTCAGTAGCTATTACTACTATGAAGAGACTGAAAAATTGAATTCTCTCTCATAAATCTAAAAACAATGCCATAATACATCCCTTCTTTCCCTCTTTAACAATAAATGAAGTGTCCAGTTAATCTAAGTTAAAGTTAACTGTTTTGATGGAAAATAATCTAATCTTTATGCAATGTCTCAAACTATTCCATGTGGCTTAGTTTCTTCTGAAAAGCTATACATTTTCAGTTAGTGTAATTGTTTGTTTAGAACATTGAAAATCCATCCTACTTGCTGTTGATATTGTCTCATGGCTTCCTGAAGGTGATGGCACCACTCAAGAACTTTGGCTTGGGTAGCAGCTCGAAACTTGTACACATTTCCTTTCAATGGATCACTTAACTGGAAGGTGTCAGACTGATTAGGATTTTCACTCCAAACAACCATCCAGCCCACAATAGAAGCCATTTTGTTAGAAGTAGTTTTGAACTATGAAAATTACAAAAGATTAGAAATAAAATAATAGCATTTTTCTCAGAAACATTCACACATTGAAGTATGATAATTGATACTTTCGTTTTTCCTTAACTAGAAATCTATTCTTGACAATAACATATGCAACAAAGATTTATATGTCTTCTTAGCAACTGTCATTTTCTTCTCACTGAACACACTAGGTTTTTAATTTCATTTATTTTAGAGAAGAACAAGTTTTGTGAACTACTAACCCAACATTCTATATCAGAAATACATTGAAAAACTACATGCATTGAAAAAGAATTAAATCTGAGTAATACTATAAAGTACAGGGATTGAGTATGTTACATTAAAATGATTTTGGGGAATCATTACAGTCAAAGATGCCAAGTCTGGTCATTCTCTATCCAATGACCATGTGTCCTTACAATAGCCCTGCAGAGCCTACAGCTAAGTTTCCTTTGCAAATGGCTTTTTAATAAGGTTTTCATGTCCAAACTAAAAGAAAACTTTTAAATGCATATACATATACTCACCCAGTAGCTTAGTTGTAAGCTTGAAGGCTAAACTTCAATACCCTGTTGCACAATCTTGTGTTTAACAACAAAAATATACAAACACATTGTTTCTTATTTCTATTTCACTTTCTAAGCTCCGTACTTTACCAAAAGAAAAATTAAAATCTTTCACATGGATATTAAATACCAAAACCTTAAACTAGGAAACAATAAGCTCCAAAGCAGCCTATCAAACTCACATTTCTTCACATATTTAGCAATTATCATTTCTACTCATATTAAAAAGCAGATGTTTGAATACACCTAGAAACTAAATATATGGAATGACCTTACTCCCCCATAACATTCTTGAAAATAAAAATGAAATATCTGATCCCAAGGTGTCACATTTATTAGCAGCTAGTGATTTCACATAGGCCTACCCATTAAGCAAGCAGTTAATAATAAATAGTGTTTCTCGGTTTCTGCTTTTCAGGCATCATATACATTCCTCTATTACTTTGGTACTTGTTAAGGGGAGGCAGATTCGTTTAAACATGTATATTTTAATGCAATGTGTGGTTAAAACTACATATAATAAAAAAACATGTACTTTATATCACATCAGGTAGTGTTTGCTTGATAAATTGTACTGATCCATCAGACAACTACCTTGTGGTCTGTCATATTGTTTACTAATCTCAGACTAGCATTAATTATTCATCTATGAAACAGTAATAATTATAAAATAAAACAATAATGTTCATGTTATCCTCCATACTGATTAATGATGACAACAAAACCAAACAATAATTTATAATTAATGGTGAATGTGAGAATTAATTTTATAAAAATATATATATGTTTTAAGCCTACAATCTTTAAAAGCTTGCTTCGTACATAACAGTGCTTCTAGAAAATACCCAATTTTATAAAAAAGTAACAATAAAAAAAATATAATTAGAGACTTACATCTGCTCTCTCATGTCCTCTCAGGGTTTTTGGAGAAAAATAAATTAAAGATGTGCCCCACAAGCTTACCCAATACCTCATCCATGATGAAACCTGAAAATGTATTCTAATTATTACTTTGAACTTTGAAGCACTGAAACTTGTCTGTAAATAAAAATAAGTTATTGGTCTAACATTTTCCTTACTGCAAACACTATGATTTTAGATAAACATAACTTTCTGTTTTTATTGCACATTTAAAAATAGGGTTTGAGAGCAAACAAAAATTGTTTTTAGTTACGGGTAATTTTCTTCAAATAAATACAATGCAAAATCCAGAGTGAAATTTAAAAACAGAATATGCTTCGAACAACTTTTATATTTTGTTCACCCAGAAGTAAGGAGTTTTTAACAGCCCTTACAAAATCACTTATGTCGATTGATTTAATTTATCAAGCATGTACACTGTCGAATGTATCAGTTGTAGAATAATTACGTAGATCTTGTAAACAACTTGAAGTTTTACTCACTAAAGGTCCAATAAAAATATCAAAGGAGTGCCAACTTATTAATTTTATTTTCCAAATTGGCAGCACCATGTTGAAAACGTTTGCAATTGAGCACAATGTTACAATTCTTAATGCATACACAACTGTGCTGAATTGTTGTGATGATTTGCTTTATTGCACACCACCTTATAATATTTAAAAGGGTGGAGGTTTGGAGTTTCACAAATGTAGAAATTTAGGGTGGTTTATTTCTACTTTAAGGTTATTTTTATATCTACATATTCAGGGTGAGTGCAGACAGTGAAAGGCACTAGGAGTTGAGATATTGTGGGTTCAAGCACTCAACTCCTAACCCTTAACTGATTCTCTATAGCTGCTGACTATTTTGACATCTGCATTTGGATTTTGTCTGATAGATGGAATATCCCCAACAAGTTTGGGAGCTATGTCCATAGACATTTTCCATTTTGAATTAATGATGATGACAAGGACTGGTAACGAAAAATATATTGCAAACTGTGGTGCCCATTTGATTGTTCGTCTGTCTCATGTTTAAATCAGCTGCTTTCTGTGCTGCATTTGAAAAGCTGTGCACACAGGCAAAACTCAACATTCACTTTTGAAATGATGGATAGATATGAATAATGTTGATGCCAAATTGTATTTCACAAGCAGGATATTCTATACTAAATTGTTAGGAATTAATCACACCATCATTCACATTTCAAAATGTGACGTAACTTAGAATACAAATGTAGATTAACCTCACGTTATTGTTGAGTGGCTCTTAGCATGACTGAAATGCTCAACAATTACTTTTAGCGGTGGGTGGTATAAGTAGCTAAGAGCTTAGGCTCTGAGTTAAACCAAGAGTGCAAAACAATTAACCTTTTTAAACCCCATGAAATAATTTAAATTGATAGATTAACTTAAACTTCTTCTGTTACTGGGGGATGGGTACTTTTGCTTGTGAAAGATATTTCACATACACACGTATATATATAGTGTAGTTTAAACACTAACATAGTTCAAGGCTATCTGGTTATATTTCGGCAGAATAGAAGGCTTTAAAATTTCAGGGGTTCTCAATCAGTCCAGGACCCCCCTATTTGTCATACAAGTAAAAATCAACAGAGAATAAAGACAATTCTAAACACTCAATGCTAGTACAATAATTCTGTATATACATTTTCTTTTTAAATTACATAACTTGAAAAAAACTCAATCATATAACATGTAGAATACTAAAAAGTAGGGTTGGGCATGACCTACTGATCAGTGTGTTTAGACTGTGAATCTGAGGACTCATGATATGTGTTCTGCTCCAAAAAAAAACACACACACTATACTTAGGGGCTGTGGATGTGTTATAACAGTGACAGTCAAATCTCATTATTCAGTCATACAAAAGATGGTGGTGTTGATTAACTGTCTCCACTCTAGTTTACAGCCTAAATAGCCACTGTGTAGTTTTTGTGTGAAAATCAAAAATCAACTAAATAATTAATGCCTTCCCCGTTGCAGAAATAGACAATAAAGAGGTTGAGAAAGTGAAAAGACTCTCTTTAATTATTTTATCATTTACTTAAAAAAAATCTCGAAAGAGATTTATATTTTTTGAACTTCTTTGGAAACTTTCATAAACCACAGATTGAGAACATCTGCTTTATATTTTAAACCAATGTTAAAGCTGTTACTTACTATTTTTCTTAAAATTCTAATAAGATATATAACTTTAACTTACAAAATAAAGAAATGATCTGCTAAAGAACTCATCATGAAGTACCACTAAATAGATTCCATATTTACAACACCCAAATCTTTTTTTTTTTGCTAATTCTGAATAATACTGTTTTCCACAGTGAACAAACTGGTTTTAGGAAATACTGAAATATGTTGAGATTGTACAATTCCGACGTAATCAAGTAACTATCACCACCATAACAATCAAAACTAAGTGAGCTCTTCTGAGAAATATGTCCCTTGACTTCAATCTAGCACTTGGAAAACTGACTACACAATTAGTTAGGACTTTCTGAACAAGAAAAGAGTAAATGACAACAATGCTGCTACACATCATATTCAATTTTGTATGAAAATACAACATTTAGGTTTAGTTTTCATTAATAATTTTATCTATATGAGACACAAGTCATTTTTGCAACAAATATTAAAGAATAAAAATCTGATGAAAAAGATGATCTAGAATAATGTCTAAATGCAATAAATAATCAGGCAAAATTTTTACTTGCACTTACGTTTCTACTGCTGAGTTATGTTCCATAAAATATATTTTATATAAGGTTTAATTAGGCTGCTAGCTTCTAAGAATTGACATTAAAATGTTAAGAAATTTTTTCATACTAATGCAAAAATGTGTTTTGGTTTTATTGCCTTTGTTTCTCCCAAACAGTGGTTTTGCATAAGCAACATAGGCAAAGACATTTTGTTTTGGTACAAAATACATTAGTTGGGCTCATTAACTTATACATCAATAGAAATAAATATTTGTCATACTGTATCACCCAATTGATTGATTAATACGTATGCCTTCTAAGCTCATTTTCAAATTATGCAAGTTACAAAGTCTCTCTTTAATACTGTAAAATCAAAGTTCACAATTATTACGAGGTCAATTTCCTAGATATGATGGTTACCAAAATACTTAACTTACACAGGAGTTTATAGGAACACACATATACTGGTATATACCTTGACAATTAATCAAATCACTAACAGTGTACAGACAGGTGGTATAGACTGCCTAATTTCCAGAATGAACAAGATTTATAACAAATCACTACAATTGTCCTTGACAATGGATATCCTGAACACTTGATAAAGAAGAAAATAAAAAACATCAACAATAAGCAAGAACATTAAAACATTGAATCCCAGTCACTACCACCCAAAAATGGTCCTTTTTAGGACTTCCCTGAAGACAGCATCTCATTAGCAACTGAAATGCAGGATATTTTAACTAGTCAATAATTAGTATCTAATACAAACAAACTAATAAATAATTAGAAACTTAGTTGACCATATAGTACCAATGCATGCCTTTTACTTTTTTGCTTTTGTAATTTTACACATGTAAATGGTATTTCTTATAAGAAGAAATATAACACTAAGTAAAAAATCCTACTAAGCAAGTAGTTATAATTCTACAAAGAACAGAAAAATGTTATTATAAAACTTGACTTACAGCTGGTTTCTTGCCTTCTTTGAGCAATGTTTTGCGTTTCAGACAACCTTGGAATCTTACCTGCCCATCCAAGATTTCTTGGGAGATTTCACCTGATCCACTGATTTAATGTTATGGAAAAAATAATAATCAGGATTGTGTTTAAATCCTGGAAAAATCTCGGCATTCTTTAGAAATTAGACTTAAATACTTGATAAAAAACAAACTTAACTTATATATTCTTCATTAGTAGCACTGATACGTTAGTATCATCAAAATGTACTACAATTTAAGGATAAAAAATTTTTAATTTGTGCAAATTGAAAAGAATATGAGAATATCAATATAACATATAAAACAGAGTATAATGCACAATAAATTTAGTACACAGACTTACATTAGCATTGCTTAAAATGGAAAGGTCACGTTACTTAATAATCATAGACAGAGCAGTAGCTAGGGTAGAGCAGGAGGGGGAAGTTGCCCAGGGAGCAGCTAGAAGGGGGGGTGCAGTTCGAGCACTAAGCCTGTTATTCCAAAATTTATGCAGAACTATACAGACTGGAGGATAAGTAGAAACTTAATGTTTAAACTTAGCATCTGAAATGAGCAAGATATCTTGCTCTATTTAGTATGATATGGTACTTAAGTCCCGCCATCACTTCTTATTCTTCAAACTATGTCGTCCCGTTCTTAAGTTATAATATATATCAATTATTTTTATATTTTCTAGTGTTGTGGTATTTACCAACTCATTTAGTTACATGCTTCTTTTGTAATATCTATATGTCTTCATGAAAAAAGACAAATAGGGCTCTAGAGATATCCAATGTTCTGGGACATCTACTGGCTACAAACATTACAGGAAGCATTCTCGACATGGTAATCTGGTTTTTACTGTATCTATCATTGCAATAACACGTGGAACATTGATTTGTTCGGTAATTCATTTATGTTCTAGTAATCATCTTTAAAATATATTTATCCTATGTTATGAAAACACTTGATTTTGATGGAATAGCGACCATGATTAACAAATTTGTTCTGCAAGGATGTGTGCCGAGAAAATCCTAAATTATATGGAACCTTCACAGACCGACGACCGTCTAACCCCAACCGACATGCATGGGCCATGATGAAAAGGGGGGAGGGGTGCAGTTTGTGAAACATGCCCAGGGTACAAAAATGATTGACTGCAGCTCTGATCATAGATCAAACTTCATTTCCCTGGTCTAATTCTTGATTTTTTTTGTGCCACAGATACACTGATTTACAACTGTTGAGGGTGACCTGTCTATAAACTATAGAATCTATTCAACAACTAGCTTATGTGGAAACATAAAACATATACTGATGATACCAGCCAACCTACTACTTAATGCTGAATAAGTGTACTTTAGTCATGGTTATAATTACATTGCTAGAGAAGCTTAAAGCCCCAGCCAAAGTACAGACTCTTATTCCTTCAAGTATGGGGTCCTGTTGCATCCCATTTGTCAGTGTACAGTCCATGTAGCATGGCATTTCTCTTATTTTTTAACCATTGACCACCAGTCAGCAGCAAACTACTTTTTTCAAAAAGATGTTATTTTTTAATTAATTCATTTTTACTTTATTTAATCATTCTTTTCATTATATATCATTTTTTGACATCATGTTCTCAATGTATATAAGTGTATAAAACACTGGAAATCAAAATTACTGATCTCTACTCAACACTATAGTAACAGGACAAACAAACACAAACCAAGCCTAGTCTCAGCAACTTGGTATGTAACTGCACAAACTAAGCAAATTAATCCAAGTTAACTACTGTAATCTCAAAATAAATCTCAGAATTAATTAAATATTTATAAAAAATGAAAACGAATACTAATATTTTTAACTACAGTCATTGAGAACAAAAGTTATAAAATCTAATTAAGTAAGCCAGATGCTTCTTATATTTTTAACCTAATATTTTTTTAAGATAGCAAAGTTGGGTATTTTGCTTAACAGTAATCAATCCTACTTCAATTGTTCCATTTTGCAATTTTCCAAGTTAATAAGTAGGCCTACTAATTTATTAGCTACTTATCCGCTCGTGCCTACTTTTTACAATTGGCTCAGCACTACAGCAACTGGACAAAAAACACAAGCCTCATTTTAGTATAAAATTACCACAATCTAAGTAAATTGATCCAAGCTGACTATTGTGTTTGCAAAATAATTTGAAAATAATGAAAATATTTTTTAAGAAATTAAGAAGAATCCTAATTGGGCCTTTAATTAAAAAACAACAAATCATGAGAGCTTAGCTTTAGTTTTTACTTTTCAGCATCCTCCCTGTCAAATAATCAAGCTTCTGTATGGTTAATATGTTAGTGTAGGGCACTAAGTAATTATTTTAGCATCCAGCAGGACTGGTATGCAAAAAAGCTATTTATAAGCATTGTTTTATTTATTTTTTCTGTCTTGTACAGAAGTAAATTGTCCCCCCCCCCCAATCAAAATACACATTTTCTTGGCAAATAGAAACCTATACTTTAGGATAGGCAGAAAAATTCTACAGAATGTCTTATAAGTGTGTTTGTTTATAGTTAAGACTCCTTGAAGCTGTATAAAAACATACATTTGGACATTTTTTCTTTGTGAATTACACTAAATAAATGTTACAGAATGAGAAAATATCAATTCTAAAATATTTTTGAGTTGCAAGTTGGTGAAACAGGGTAAGAATTATTATTTTATCTTAAATTTTGAAATGGTATTGACCTGGCATGCTCTTGACCTGGAAGCTGCTCATTGGTCGTAATGATGTTAAAATAGAAGAAATATTCATCCTTCTGGTTTGTGGTTAGAGATGTAAATACAAATAGTTGGTACAGAAACTATTTTCATTTATGAAACTGAAAACAGACTATATAACATATATAATTATATGAAAAGAATGGAAATAAAATAGTGTGTGTGTGTGTGTGTGTGTGTGTGTGTGGTATTTCAAGCCACAGTTCAGGATGAACCAAGTTCATAGTTACCCAACATTTTACAACAATAAGAGATTCATAAATCTAGAACTTGGAAGGACAAGTAAAGTGACTTTTTAAAGTAGGAATGAATGAGAAAAGACACAGTGTAAAAATTGAACAAACATAAAACATTATTTGCCACACAAAAGAACAACAGTGATGAAAATACAGGCCGATCATTTAGTAAAAGGACTAACTATAATTAAAAGTTGAATAAACTAGTGAGAATATTAAAAGTGAATAATGAGGTAAACTGTATTTCTAATTATACCTGTCATTAAGACATTTGTATTAGGCCTATTATAGTTTTAATACTAAATTCCTTATTCAATTTATTGGAGATAAACTGTTTTCAATAAGATAAAAATTAAAATAATTTTACTTCAAAATAACCTGATATATGTTTGTCACATTGATTAAAAGAAAATATATATTTCACAGGATCAGCAGCTTTTGGTTCTCTGCATGATAGATATGAATTGGAATGAATAAACCAAAGGTACTCTCATAATCAACATTCTCTCTGTAGCTGACCAATAACAAAGATATATAACTAGTATCAAGAGGCATCTTTGCTCATGTGATAGTTGTAAAGCAGTCCCACATACATAAAGCAATGTACAACACAATAGAAATATTCTGAAAGCCTCTTTGACTAAATCTGGGTACAAAAAATAACACAAAGTTAAGTCAGAACGTTGACTCTGACTAGTGTTACTATGTCCTACATAAAAATGCTAAAAAAAGGTTAACCATTTTGTATGATATATCTATTATGCTAGTGAAACATACGATATTTGAATACCACAAGTTTATGATTAACATAGCAAGATTCTGTTCAATGGGATTTAATGATATATTTAACAAAACTCAACTGCTACAAGAAGTTAACTTACCTAGAATGAGTCATTGGAAGGAAATAGTCTGAGCATTCATCAAAGTGTTCCAAACCATTATTAATTTCTATAAAACAAAATTAGAACACGGTTGTTTCAAATATTAATTTAAAAAATAAAAAATAGAAAGTTTACTTTTGGTTTATTAAGATAAAATATTATTCCTAATTTATTTTTGATGTATTTAAAATTTAAACAAAATTTAATTCCAACTATTTAAAATAAAACTATTTGTTCAATGGCATCAAAACCCATTTCATTTTTTAAGAAATGCATAACCATAACAGAATGCTACACACAATTTTAAAAAAATACTTGACTAATTTTAAACAAAAACTTAATTTATTCATAAAAAAAAACTGCAAACACTATTGACTAATGCAAACTAAAAGTATAAAAATACTTTGGCATTAAAATTTACTCTAATTATTTTAAAAGCAATGTGTAATCACAATTTTCATGAATTGTCTTAGATGACTTGATTTCAAGACCTTTTTATTCAATTACGTAAAATTGTAAATGAAAGTAGGTAAGGAAATTCCTTATTTAAATAAATGTTTATGATTACATCTTTCTTTTAGATTAGATGCAAGAAGAAAGTGTTTAGATGTGAAAGCAGTCATGTACTATACAGAATATCTCAACTAAAGAATACTCAACTGTTTCAGTACCAAGTTTTGCTTTTCCAATGATCACAGATATATAATCAAAACTAAATTATACATATATATAACTATAAAATATGGAACTTGAACCACAGTTAAAACTGTCTTCTAAACACAAGAAATCTGTAATATAAACTGTGTGCATCAACAAGGAATTCTTTTCAATGTTTTGACCTTAAAACTTATAATATTTACTAGCATAACTTTTATCTACATCTAGTAATTAATCTTATTATAGACATTTATTTCATCTGTTTAAGCAAATAGATAAAAACATTTAATAGACAAAGTAAAAACAATCTTTCTTTACTTTAGAACATAAAAAGCTCTTTTACCGTGACAACTGATATAGTTTGAAACTACAGTTTTCAGCTGCATCTCAATATGGTTTTTATTTTCTATTAGCATTGTGAGCTAATATACTTTTTTAATCATAAAATACTTTCAGGTAAAAAAAAAAATGTAATTGTAATTAAATAATCCAATACTTCTCAAACAGTTTGTTTGTTCATAGTTATGCACAAAACTACACAATGGGCTATCTGTACTCCGCCCACCACGAGTATCGAAACCCAGTTTCTAGCATTGTAAGTCCGCAGACATACCGCTGTGCCACTCAAACAAGGAACCTATTATAAATGTTTGCAATATAACCTTACTTCAAGTGTAAGTAAATCTTAGTAATAAATAACTGTTGTACAAACTATAACATACGGAGCTTAACTGTTCTAACATAACAAATACTTAACTTAATTCAAAAACCAAGTTAACTACAAACTTACATAGCTGTTTTGACATCAAATTTTATTTATAATAAAGTTGTTAATATAAATGAGTGGTACAAAACAAAACGAAATACTGCTGATATATGTTTTTTAAGTTATAATAAAGATATAAGTAAAATGATTTAAGTTTTCCATAATCCTACATTGACTTCATGATTATTTGGCATTAATTTTTATTTACAGTACACTGATGCCCCCCACCTTAGAGAAAAGTAGTGGCATGAAAAAGGCTAATAAAGTGATGAAATATTCACATTTAGAATAGCTTGGTTTGGAAAAAGTAAGTATAATCAATTTTTAAAGTGACACCTCCATAAACATTTTTATTAGTGGCAAGCTGGGAAAAGTATTTTAAATCAGTGCTGGAAGTTAACATTTTCCTAATCTGAAAATGTATTTCCAATAGAAATTCACCTCTTCACATAGTTTAGCTATCTAATTTCATGTGATTCAATGTGAGTGGTGATGATGCATGATCACATCATCATGCAACAAAAGCCCTCCAGCAACAGGAGGGCAACACAACCACTATGCACAATAACACCCTATGCACTTGCACTCATGGTAATTTCATTTTTTGATGAAGCAAAACAAAATGTGCACCAGAAATGGAGAGGATGGGTGAGAACAAGTGTGTGTGGAGGAGAGTATAAGAAATACATTTTCCAATACAATAACTGACTTCTTCACAGAGTTTAGCTAGAATCCCAAACTGAATTGATGGAAGGGCTGGTGCAAATTTAACCTAGATGAGCTCTCTTCAAAAATCACCTGAAGGGAAGCCCATGGAGATTGACACCTGATGGCAGGTGTTTCGGAGGGGCACATCCATGGGAGACAGCATATTGTCTCAACCAGGGTATACTCTTCACCCAAAATATAAAGGGGGGAAGAGGCAAGTGTCACATGGATGGGTGAAATGAGAATAGCACTTGCAAACAAGCAGTTGGCGAGCCAATGTATACTGTGGCCGTGGAATGGTCAAACCATACTTTGTGTGCTTACCTCAACTCTGTGAAACAGACTTCAGCTGCAGGAGGAGGTCACACTGGTTAACCAGTATGGTTTTGTATGGTATGTGCTCACCATGACTTTACTGAACAGCATCTATTGCTCTATTGGACAAACTCCGGCTGCAGGAAGAGGGCACTTTAGATATGTAGTTGTGTTTCATACAGTGTTTACTCACTTCAACTCTACTGAACACACTCCAGCTGCAGGAGTAGGGCAAAGTGTTAGAGTGTGTTCACCTTGACTCTACTGAACAGACTCTGGCTACAGGAGGAAGGCACCATAGTTTTGGATCATGTTTACAGTACATTGTGTGCTCATCTTGACTCAATTGAACAGGCACAGGCAGCAAGAAAGGGGCACAAGTGGTATGAGTAAGAGTTTAAAGGGTTACCCACACTACACTGACAGTGTCATCACCACCTTACTTACTGTATTGTGCTTAGCTCAACCAGTGAGGATTCTCCATGGTCCACCACCCCAGCAGCTAAGAACAGGTAAGTGGTAAGGATCTTCTGTGCTTCACTTGATGAAGGAGAGGGGGGGGGAGAATTGATATAGGAGAGACCCAGATAAGTGCTTGGATCCCCATGAGACCTCCAACTGGAAAGGTCATTTACTGGAATCAGTGCAATGAGTGATGGGTGGCTGCAAAACCTGTTTTAAAAAGCCAGCCAAACATGAGCCAAAGAAGTGGGCAGAATTCTTCCCTGGTGCTGGTATAGTCCGTGAAATAGGTACAGTCTGGATAAGACAATTAGATAAATATGTATATTATGAGGATACATCCTATCTCTCAGGCAACACTAGCCACCTGCCAGGATCCTAAGTATTAAAAAGAGGGCTCTGAAATAGAAAATGTAGGTATTCTTCTCAAAGACAGTGGAATGATTGAAGAATGATGACCTAGTGACCAGTGACCAATAGGAGATAAAACAGCCAGAAGGTATAGAGAAGGAAAAGAATATGAAGAGAGTCAATCACATGCCTGACTGGAGGATCTTGTCTTAGGGTCAGCAAAGAAGAGACACAAGCTGATAAGAAAGGTGACAAATTGAATATGAAGAAATGTCAAATGGTCTGCATGTATCTACATCCTGAGACAAACATACCAAACACAGAAATCAACAGTTCCATCCAGTAAGGGTAGAAGGAGAGAGGTCATTGGAAAAAGAAGAGTCACAGGGTAGGAACAGGTGAAAGTGGAGAGGTACATGATAGGGCATGCCAAACAGCCCAATCAAAATACAGGAGATGATGCAAGTCTGAATGGTCAAATAGGTGAGAGACAAAAGGAAGGGAGACAGGAGAGAAGTACAGTTTCCCTCCTGAGCAGTCAAAGTCTTAGGAAGGAAAGACTGGTCCAGGGAGAAGAGTATATAAGTGCAGAGGAAGAGGATGTGAGAAGAATCCATAGTATAGACATCCATATGCAGCCAATAAGAAGGAGAAAACAAGTAAGAAGAGAAAGACAGTATGAAAAGCAAGAAGTCAATAGCTCAAATGAGACACACATGTAAGATCATGCAAAACTGCATTAAGGTCTCAGTCAGGCATAGGAGTTGGGCAAGGAAGATTGTTTGTTGAATTTTGTGCAAAGCTACATAAGGGTGCAAGGAGAATAGAAGAGAATGAATAGGCAGAACAGAGTGGAGAGGACTGGGGAAGAAATACCTTGTGGTTCCAGGAAAAGTGAAATGCCATGGTCAAAATCTCCAAACGACTAGCAAAGGCAAAGACCCAAAAGAACATGGATGAACCTTCAGGTAAAATAAGGCAGAAAAGTGGTTCATAATTTGACGGCCAGGAAGAAAGGAGTGGTGGAAAGACCATTGACAAAAGACTTACCACAGTCGTTGATAGACAAAAACAGTGAAAAACCAACAAGAAGAATGCCACACAATTAGAAAACCCAGACCAACAGGAGATGGGTTGGCCAAATCATATGCATGAAAATAGAAGGATGAATCCCTCAATGAGAAAGAGATGCATGAGGGTGAAACAACAGAGAGAGGGAATATTGGGGAGATAAGTGGGTCCAAATGTCAAGTGGACCAAGGCTGATCTGGTGAGAGGTTCCAACAACAGGACCTGACAAGGAGAGTAGTTTGTAAAGTTGAGGACACAAGAGAGGATGTGAAGAGGGAAATAGGCATATAGGAAGGGGTGAGACTAGGCCTGGCTGAGCAAACTGACAGCTATAGTCAAAGGATGGGAAATAGGTGTTCAGAAGAGAGGAAGTCTGGAGTTGAGAAGTGTAGCAAATGCATCCATAAGGTGCATGTCTTACCAAAAGCACATGGCATGAAAGACAACTTTGCTAATAAAATGAAGACTGGCTGAGAGAGGCAGCTCACCACAAAGATTTAAGCTCCCAGCAAATTACAGGCAAGAAGACAAACCCAATGTGAATGGACCCAGAAGCTTATGTCTAATTCCCAAAAGCAAAGGGTCCTGTTAGATATACATGACTGTTTTCATTTAAGTATAGAACAAGTGTCAAATTTAGTTATTTTTAGAAGCAATAGTTTATCTCAGGTTTTTTTACGTAACTGTGTATGAATCATACATTGTGTAGTTCCTTGTTGTGATTTGGTGCTTGTATTATTGCATAATATCACTAGAACCTTCTAAATTTTCTCAAGTATTATTACTTCATAATATCTCGTAGTGTGAAGAAAGTTCTAGGCCCCAGTTTGGCTCTCTATAAATATGTGTACAAAATGTAGTTTGAAAAAGAAAGACAAAGTTAGAGAGAGAGATATAGTCAAATAGATCTAGACTGTGTGTGTGTGTGTGTGTAAGTTTAGCCCTAAAGTTTATACTGTGTCACTTTTTTTAAAGTGAAATTATTGCAGATTGTGCTGAAACAACAGAGTAGAGAAGAGTAATTTGTCTTGTCAATTATGTTCTAAAGTAATTGAACAAACCTGTGTGGACTTTTGACAAAAAAAGACAATTATTTAAAGCTCTGGATACAACTGTGGTAACCAACAGTGTAATGTAAGTGAAATTATCACCAATTGTATTGTAACAAGAGGAGAATAATTTATCTTGTCAATTGTGTGGACTCTGACGAAAATAGACAATTATTTAAAGCTCTGGATACAACTGTGGTAACCAACAGTGTAACGTAAGTGAAATTATCACCAATTGTATTGTAACAAGAGGAGAATAATTTATCTTGTCAATTGTGTGGACTCTGACGAAAAAGAGATGATTATTTAAAGGTCTGAATACAAATGTGATGATTAACTGTGTAGTGAACATTTGTATATACATTTGACTTGTTTTAATATATTATTTTAAAAACAAGTGTACTATTTGCTGTTTGTATGTTGTTAAAACTTGTCAACAACAAGTCACAGACACCTATTGAGACACATGAGTAAAAACCTGACATACTTCTTTGTGCAAGAAATGACTTTGGAATTGATTGAGTGGAACATGATCAACAGATCCACCAGTAAGGGCAGGAATGGAAACCTGCTTAACGAATAGTGAGAAGGATGAGTACACTGATGTGGAGCAAATGCTTGTCTACTGTCCAAACATCAGAAGTCCCGTTCTCATACAGAGATGTGCCTAAATCAGAGAGTGAAACATCGAAGAAGAGAAATATCTGGTTTGAGAAGTGGTAAGGGAATACCACAAATATTTTAGGTACAGCCCAGTCACCTTGACAATTCCTCAATGAGAAGAGAGGTTCACAATCGAGAACAATGGACTCCCAGAAAGAAACCTTTGAGTATGCAAGATCCACTGTGGGAAACATACAAGTGTGTGTACCCTAAAGGGATGAGTGGTTCCAGGGATGCCAGTCTCTAAAAGTGAAAGAGACTCTTGCTCAGGAAGAGAATGAGAAACATAAATTCTGGTGCCACAGCGCATAGTCAAAGAGGAGATTGCTGAAATTGATTGAGAAAAGAGAAGAAAAAAAGCCCAAAAATACCAAACATTGAGTGAGCATGAGAAAGGAATTAAATTCCAGGATACGTTCCTCACCCAACCAAATAGTCACCTGTAAAAGAAGAGAGGTGAAAAATGAGGAAACAATCCAAGAAATAATTTGTCTAAGAAAAGGAACACCAACTGAGCTGTGAATATTGTGAGTGAAAGCCCTCACGATACCAGTGAATATAAGAGAAGCCAAAGTGTAAAAGAAGAGCAAGGATTGGGAAGATGTGAAAAAACCACATACTGAGTGAAAAAGACTATAGGCAGTGTCATGGGGAATTAAAAATGGAAAGGGCAAGATAAGCAAGGAAAGAGACCAAAGTGGTGAAATGAAAAATGACTTTGGCATAAAATGAGACCAACAGCAGAAGAAGAGAGATATTCACAGGTTTGTAAGTGTCTGATAGTCACCAACAAGGAAAGTGATGAACTAGACTTCTGTTAGAGAGAGGACAAGAAAAAAAGGGAAAGCCTGGAATCCGGAATTGGAAGATTAGATGCAGACTAATCTGAATGAGAAATAGGAGTAAAGAGCAAGGTAAGGAAAGAGGTAAAAATCTGGAAAACAATGAGGACAGAAGCCATATAACGTCAGTCCAAGTCACCACAGAGAAAGGTACACCACTAAAGACAATCAAACAAAGAAAGGAAGCCAGATAAATAACAAGTATACAAAAAGAAGACAGGAGTACAGTAAAGAAAAATGTAACCTGACCTAATGAATCCCAACAGCAGAGGAACAAAGTAAGGAGGGATATAGCAGAAGAGGTGGAACAGGCAAAGCTAGCAAAGAGAAAGAAATTAACATCAAAAGAAACCCACCTGAAGCACGAATAAGTACCTCAGATAAAAGATGAAGTTAGGAGAAGGAGTACAGGAGGGTAGAGAGAAAATGCAAAAATGGGGAACCAGAAAGTGAAATAGAAGGTAAGGTGGGATTCCCAAGATGGCTGAATAGATACCAAGGACAGGGCATCAAGAAAAGTAAAAGAAAGTCTACAAGTTAGGACAAAAGGAGTCACAAATGTGAGTAGGATGAGGCATTTGGGCATGGAAAAGAAGCTATTAGTGAAATGAAACAGTATAAATCCTAATAATGAGCAAGGAGAAACATTTCAAAACATAAATAATACATAATTAACTATGATATAAAAGTAAAACCTCAATACAATTTAACTGTCTCTCTAACTATAATATACTAAGGTAAGAAAAAAATGTATGTGCTATCATGGACAAAGCAGTCAACAATACTAAAAGCAGTTATATCTACCTGATGATGACAACTGAGTGCTAATTTCAAAATAACTATTGTTGTATCATAATGTAAAATGAGTTCTTTCTAATGAGTATGAATCTCAAGGTTACATACAGAAGTTAGGCATGGCACCTGTCAGGGGTTGGAAAAAAACTATCTTTAGTTTCAACTGAATTCAGCCAAAGAACTTTGAAACATACATATCAATAGGGCAAGTAAATATACTTATTGTCTAGACACACATCCACAGGATTGGGGTTATCTGATTCAAGATAGAGAGTGCGAAAGTTGAGATTTTTCATAGCTTGTGGGTCACGTGACAATAAAACTGAAGTTTAACTTGATATTTTTTAAGGTTTCTTTTGAAACAAAGGAATTAATACTTAGATAACATTAAATTTTGAATTATAACATACATTATAATGTTAATTTCATTGACATACATTGATAGTAAAGTTGTTTCATTATATTTGGAATGTAACTCAGTGACTTGTGTATAAAGGGATTTAAAGAAGTATTCAATGCAAAAGGGTTAATAGATAATTAAAAACGATGTTTACTATTTACACATTTAAACTTATTGAAGCCATACGACTTCAATAAAGTTTTAATTGTGTAAATAGTAAATGTTGTTTTTAATTATTTATTATAATTTTAAATATTACACCAGTGCCAGTAATTCATATTTAGGGTTAATACATCATTCCTGACTGAGGAGAAATACATTCAGCCAATGGGACTGAATTAGGAGGCCTAGTAAGCATGTGGGAATCTACAAAATTTTGAACAATGGTTGCAAAGACCCTGAGAGTTAATGCTCCTTCAGAAGCCATAGTAGAAATATGGCCCAAGTGTGAACAATGTCACTTGCACAGAACTAAGTATAAATCACTGTCATTTGATAAATTGTGATAAAGGTTAAAGATTTTGAAACAGTAGCCAAAGAAAATGAAAGTCAAAGTGTCTTTTAATGATGCAAATCTCAATATAATGAACTCAGATGAGAAATTTAAACACATCTGTTCAATACAATGCTGAAGAGAAGAATGAAGTTACCACGAGTGCAAATGCATAGTGGGAGTTATTGTGTATGGGGAAAGTGTTACCTTCCTATTTGTGAAGGGCTTTCCTCACATGATGACACAATTATGCACCAATGCAATTCAAGTTAAATCATGTGAAATTAGTTGAGAATGACCTCAAGGCTAGTTAGTGATATGTAAATTTCTCTGGCAGACATGCGAGGAAGATAGATAAGCTATGTGTAGAGGTAAGTCATCATCCCAGAAGATCTATGTATTAGAGTAAACTACCGAATTAAAAAATAGTCAGCATCTTAATTTTAGGTCATGTTATCAATGCAGTCAATAAAAATATGTTTTGTTTTAACAAAATCTGTTTTTGATGCCTTGTTTCTCATGTAAATGTTGAGTTGGCAAACTGTGTAAAAGATAATGACTACATCTTCCTGATATTTTAAGTAAATACTAATTGTTACTGGTTCATTACTTAATGATACAGCAACCTTTTTTACGATAAAAATAACAGACTTAAAAACCATACTGGCTATAGCTCATAAGTCCAGTTCAAAAACCTTACCACCATATTCTGGACCTAAAGACGACGTCCTTGAGAGTGGAGGAGAGATTTCTATCACACTATCATCAAGAAGATGTCTTAACTTACATGTAGTTGTAGGTGAGAGGCTGTAAAAAGAAATCTTATGTAATTCTTAGATATGTCATATTAAAGATATAATTTTAAAGAAATCAGATCAATTAGACACTAAAACCAACATCAACTTACTATAATCAACTAGATTTTAAGTCTTCCGGAATTAATTTTCATAATTCAAAAAAATATTAAAAAGTCATATTACTGGTTAACTTGATACAAAGGCAGCCATAGTTCACTATACTTGTTTTTACCATGCATTTTTAGATATAACAATATTGCACAAATTGAATTTCAGCTGCTATTTAAGTAAACAATATCTGATTGAATTAATATTCAGTAAATGTATTGGGAAAAAAACAAAAAACGTCTTTATACTCAAAACAAACCCATATCTACATTTTTCCTTTAATGATTATTGTGAAAAATAGCATATAGTTACACAGAGTTTCAATAACAAACTACAATCTGGTTCACAAATATAAGTAATACAAATATAAGTATATATATATTTTCCCACTGTTACTAGATATCTTGGCTGATATACGTATTTTCATTGTTAGTGAGTTGTTTTACTGACATTAGAAACAAACAGTGCACTGAATTACTACAAGAACATTTAATTTAACCAGTAAAATATCATCAACAATGAGCGAGAAACGCCATGTTCTTTACAACTGAGATTCGGGTTTTGAATCAGTAAATGTCAAGAATGTAAATAATGTATTCATATTGAAATTTGATTACATTTTGTTAGAACTTTTTATGGTGAAAAGCAGTGATAACATTAATCAATCTTGAACTCTAAACAAACTAATTATTAAAACATCATGGCTTATTAGTAGTAGTCTTGGAATGACTGTCAACAAGGCAACTCGCATTATAGCCACATTTTATTTATGCTACATAATTAAATGTAGTATTAGGATTTTTATTCCCTTTAATTAACATCATTTGTTTGGACTGTGCACAAGAGTTAAGAAAAAAATGATATTTGGTAATAATAATCTTAAATAATAAATGTAAATAATACAAGATCTGTCTTACTTGAGAAAATCAAATATCTTTTAAACAACGTTCTACTGTATTAAGTAAAAAGTATTATACAACAAGACTGTCTTAAAAAATTTTTCTTAAGAAAGAAATATGGTTTGTTTATTGTACAATGACATTACATAAACTCACTACAATCACTAACCTATAACAAAAAATATTGTTTATAAAATATGCACTGAGAACCTGGATTTCCTTAACAAATAGACAAGTGGTATGTTGTCAGGAAAACGTAGTGTTGCTGGACACTGAGTTTGAAGTTAGATATGTATGTTTTTTACTGTATCTAGACTGCTTGGCTGATATATCTTTGACTGCTGTTATTAGATTACTTGGCAAATGTTGGACATTTGTCTGTCTGAGTTATCAATGAACTTAGACACTGTTCCTAGGCTTCTCAATACAGAAGATGATCATTCCCTCTAGGCTATGTACATCCTCTCCCCCAATGTTGATGTGTGACTCCTGTGATTCAATTCTATACGTATCATGGTAACTCTCTCAATACTGACTCAGTGGATTACACTGATCATGTGACACAAAAATAAACATCAGAGATTTCATACTATAACTTATAGTATCTTCACAAAATTTTTAAAGCTTTTAGTAAACATTACAAGTTTTTTAGACAAACAAAATCACAATTTTTAATGAAGTATTTTTACTAAAAATTTGTCTATGTCTTCATCTGAAAATTGTTAAATTTTATTTGTATAATCTCTAAAACGTCCTAACTACACATTCCCCCTTTTTTTTCCCAGTAAAACTCTATATTTTATTTGTTATTTTCTCAACCTATTGAAGAAAAAATACAGTTAGATTTCTAGTAGTTTTACTTTTGTTCATTATACCCTAGTTCTAGAGGATTGCCCCTTTTTTTTTATCATCAACTTTCTTTTATTCTTTCTGTCCAAAACATAGAATATGAGAAATTGATCTTTGTAAACCCATTCTGTGGGGATCAGTGGGTCATCAGATGTCAGGCATTTGTTTAAAATACCAATAAACTGATAGATCACAAACACTGTTACTAGAATGGTCAGTAGACGTTAAGAATTTGTTTGAAATGTCACCAGAATATATGGTGGGTAGTTGACACTGATGTTTGATGTCTACTACTAATAAACAGTTCAACAGATGTTACACTTCTACCTTAACCATCACTAAAGGACTTGAGAAATATAAAACACCTCCATCCATCGAGATTCTTAACATATATAAACATAAGTCTAGACAGATTAGCAATTAATATACCTCTTTTTATTATCACTGACAATTATATGCATTTATGTTTGTAGATGCCTATAGATTTGAATTACAATAAAATAAAAGTCAAAAGTTAAATATTTGTCTCTACCAATACCAAACTGCTTAAAAAATGTAACAACAGCTGTTAAAGACATAAAAGAAACTATAATGAAATTTTCTAATATTTTATTGTAATAATAATTTCTTGTCAAACATATGTAAATTAATCCATCAAATTTAACACTATGCTTTATTCAAACTTTTTCCTTTTTTGTAACCCCAGAGATACAAAACTGCCATCTCTAAATTGTAAGCTTATTTTTTTATGAATGTGTTAAAGAAATATGTATGCAAAGAAGAACATTCCTTAAATTTAAAGTTACCATGTCATCAGTTTCTTATTCCTATATTCTGTTTATTGTTAAAACAAGCAAACAAAACCTATGATAATATATGTAAATTCTTCCTTGAGATACAGTACAAGAAAAGGTGCCAAAGTTACAATGATTACCACACAATGACATTTAAGAATAAAACTATTTGATGAATCAATGCATTTTTTATTGGAAATGCATAAACTCGGGAAATAATTTTTTAAAATATTCCAGGTATAATTACATATATAAAAAACAGATGGCAGTTTTACAAAAAATGATATCATGTATATTAAGAAAACAAACTGACCTTGTGAGTTCGCAGGAACTTGATGACATGAATATGCTAAGAAAAATGAAAGATGCAAATAAAGTTTCAATGACTGGAAGACAATCACAATTACTAATGAAGATATTGGATGAAAAAAAAATATCTGAAGAAACTCAGATGCTTGTAATACATAAAAACAGCTAAAATAACAATTTTCAGTATTTTATGTAGTAAACAATATATTTCATGAAGTGATTTTAGAATGGAATCATAGTTATAATTATTTTTCAGAAAAACGTTTACCGAGAACTAAAACAGAACAAATTAAGTGTGTGTGAGACTCAATTATAAGCTCAATTTAAAAATATTGGACTACTGCCTTAAGTATAATATGGCAACATTAAATAAAATCATTTTGTTGGCATTTAAACCAAAAATAATGAAACCTTTGCTACTGTACAAATATTTAAAGGAGAATGTAGAATGCTTGCATCATGCAACAAGGAGCTTTGTACAAGTCAGACCCACTTATCTTTCATTAATCAAGTAAACCACATCAATTTGAAAAAATATACTGCTTCAAGTTACTAGTAGTCAGCTATAAAAATAATATGAATAAAACAATTTTTCTCAACCTATTAAGTACCTTCTTGTGTCAGAACCTAGTTAGAGCTACATTGGCAGAAATTAAGATGTCCACAATAAACTGTATATTTCACTACAGAATACTAAGTATCATGTTTGTTTAGGTGGTTTGAAACTCTGTCCAGAGTCTGTACAAGTGCATCTTTATTTTGTAACTTATGATTCAGATAAAAAGCTTGTGATAGGGAAAGTATTGACTTTCTCAATATGGGCTCAGTCAATTTCATTAACCTTGCAATCATCAGGTAGCCATGAAAATATCCATTCTATAACTTTTTACTTTTAATGTGGTAAGTGTATTTTCACAAAATTGGGCAAGCTTTCAGTAAACATTACAAGTGCTTTTGTACACAAAATTTTAATTAAGTATTTCTGCTAAAGATTTGTACATAAATACATAGAGTCCAGTCTGTTGACTAGTCTGAGTGCAAGGTGATTTTCATCTTAAGATTAAAAATGCTTTTTAATTGTACAGTTTTCTACATTGATCTGCATAACCTCTAAAAAACCTCCTAAATGAATATCAAACATATATTTTCAGTAAAACTTTATATTTATCTATTATTTTCTCTACCTGAATACTATAAGAACTTGGCCGATTTGACAACATTGTAACCATCACAAAAAATACTAAATAAATCTAACTTCTCCTATTTTCTTTCCAGAATAACTGCATATTGTAACAGAAGATTATTTATCCTAAGCAGTGTGTACATTCCTACATGCATATTATAATTTGAATTACATTAATGTTTTAGTACATACTGTAAAGTAACCTCAGTCTGAAATGACTTGTATCTTGTTTAGAACTGCAAACAATAAATTTGTGTACTTCAAAATAACACATTGTCTATGAAATAAACTCAAAGCTGGTGAATTTTTTAATTCTATGTATTCTATATACAAAATTAGTATTGACTAGCCAAGGTTTTAAAAACTCATATACAATTACAAGTAAAAGTTTTCTATGATGATAGACTAGATAAATAATTAAAACTTTTGATTGATTTTCATTCATAGTGATTACAATTTTATAGTTTGAACAAAGATGTTAAATATTCTTGTGCAGCTGTATTGGAAAAAGGTCACTTTGAATACCTATTTTAACTTAATGTAAAAAAAAAGTATTCAGTAATGTAATCCAACATTTTTTTCTAATCTATACAATATCTATGTTCTAATAGATTACAAATTTCAATGCAAAATTTAGTTTTTAAGAAAAGAAAGTTGACCTTACTTTGTGCCTAAACTACGAGCTTTTCTATGACAAGGAACAAACTTGGAGCACACTTGACCATGACCTGGCATTGAACCAGATGACCCAGGAAACATGACCCCTGGAACTTGAAGACTTCTTTCTCTTTCCAACAAATGCAAGTCTTCACGAGAACGACTCAGAGTGGAACGAGCATCAGGTGGTTCTAATTTAAGTGAAACTCTAATTAAATAAAAAGAAACCAAATACCAATATTACTGAAAACTCCGAAGAAGTTAAAACTTGAATTTATGGTAATTAAAAAGTTTACAAAATAAATTAACCTCAAAGTATCTACACATAAAATGAAATCAATTATATCTTATTTAGGTTGTAAAATATAAGAAATCAATGAGGGAGTACATTGCACACATTCACAGAAGAGGTTAAACTCTTTTCAAATGATTTGTCAATGTGTAATATCATTACAATGTCTACATGTATGTAATGAAACTTTTACTTTAATATAAGAAGCTGTTATTTCTTTAAAAATAATGTATAATGCAAGTTACATAACACGTTACATCTTACACATGAACTTATGAAATTGATTAAAAGTTCTGAACACCAAGCCAAATAATTACACTTTGAGAAATAAGTAGCTTATACATAGTTGAAAGTGAATCTATCAAAAATATGTTTTCCAACCAAAAAGAAACTCAAACATTATTATTCAAATACTGAAGTGAATAATTTAATATTTATATCAAACCAGTCTTTCAAAACCTTATTCAGTTACAGAAAAAAAATTACCTTTCCTAGAAAATTAACAGAACCTATATTATAACCTAAAATTTGTCGAACCTGCTTTCGATAATAATAATAAATAAATTATAAATATAATACTAATGAAGTTTCAAGATGTGTATAACTCACATTTCACTTCATTCTTACAATAAAAGTTACTTATAATAATAATAAATAAATTATAAATATAACATTAATGATGTTTTAAGATGTGTATAACTCACATTTCACTTCATTCTTACAATAAAAGTTACTTATAATAATAATAAATAAATTATAAATATAACACTAATGAATTTTTAAGATGTGTATAACTCACATTTAACTTCATTCTTACAATAAAAGTTACTTGTTTCGTGTATGTTTTGTATAGTACTTAATTGTATTTATTTTTTCACAAACTGTGTTGAATTTACACATGGATTTCCAGGAATAAATTTGACACAACTCTTCTATAAGAACATAATGTAAAGCCATTGTTTGTGTGTATCCATTTTAATGTGTTCTAATATGAAACAGGGGATGAAGCACTTAGGTACAATACAGGAATGGAAAAATGATTAGTAACCTGATTATAATAATTATCTTTTTATTTTTAGCATTATCTAATAAAAAGTTTTAAATTCTGATTTTTTTATTCACAAATATTCATAGCTTTTTGTTTAAATAATAACTATGAATATGTTTGATGATTGTCAAATACAGATTCTTAATGTGGTACACTTTCATGTGTAATTTTAGAATTTGGATTATTATAGGTTTTATACCGATAAGTCAATATATGCTCCAGTTTTGTGATATCTTTCTGACATTTCTTTAGAGTTTGTACTCTTCTGATAAAGGTTTATATTTTCCTACACTGAAAATATATTTCTGATAGACACTTACCTCCTTCACAATTACAGCAATTCTTGATTTGACTGCATTTTAGTGTGCAAATTTTTGATCACCATTAGCCTTGAGCTCCCACCTAATTCTATGTATATACTATGTGTTTCAGCTGCATTTAAGCATGCAAATTAGCATGCAACAACCCATCATCAATAACCATGCAATACACCCTTCTATCACAGCTGACTCCCTATGCAGTGGAATCCAATCTTCACTTCGAGATTAGATATGAAAAACAACACTGCAAGTGGGGACAGGTGGGAAGTATGCATGGAGGTAAATTTATACCGAAAATATATTTTCAGTGTAGGAAAATATTAACTTCTGTTACAGTTACTCACAATTACAGCTAGAATCCCACATTGAGCATCTAAAGAGCACCCATGGAATGTGCCACTCTACAGATATGAGATACACCCTTGAAAGACCGGACCACATCTGAACCAGGTACAATCTTTGCCCAAGTGGAGCAATCAAAGGGCACAATAAGTGATCCATCCCAAATTCGAAAGGAAGAGGAATATTGTGTAGAGTGGCTAGGATTGTAATTGGTAGAAATACAAAGTGAAAGGTCAATTCCAGACCAAAACCATTTGGCATTGGAGATGTAACATCTAGTCCGTGGTAGGAGGAAGTTCCAGCCCACTCACAAGTGACAGCTTATGGTTGGCTGATCCAGCTCCAACCAAAACCAGAATTTAAATCCAGACAATTGTAGGATGGAGGCTTCCCAGCCAGAGGGATGAATTGAAAAGTAGATGGAAAAATCCAGTCCAGACGATGGCATCTGGAATTAAAATATTAGATCTGAGGCAGGAGGATAGTCATACCTTCTACACAGGCAGAATGTCACTGTCCTACTCTCCACTGAGTGGAACTATGTACATTCAGGAGGATTCCTTCATGATTCATCACCCCAGCAGCAAGGAGCCGGGAAGTGATAAGTACTCCCATAAAATATTGGGAATAAAAGGGGAGAGGAACAATGCACTGGATAGTCTGGAGGAATGCATCACTGGAGAAAGTGCAAAGGATGACCACAAGTTAACATTTTCCTAAATTGAAAATGTATTTCCAATAATACTTACCTCCGCTGACACTTATAGCTATTACTTGACCACCAGGGTTTCAATCTTTGTCCATCTAAGCATTGGTCTGATTTTTCTCACTTGCTCCAGTCATTTATACCCCACTCAACTGCCCTTGGCGATATACTCTATATCTATGTCAACATGCCCTCTATCCTGGTACTGCATATAAGCACTTCATTCAGATAATTTTATCACTTTTTTGAGACTGATACCCTTCTAGTCTCTAATACTTGCTTTTAGTGGGGAATAAGGGCGGGAGAGTGTCAGTGGAGGTAAGTATTATTGGAAATACATTTTCAATTTAGGAAAATGTTAACTTCCAAAACACATTTACTCCACTGCCACTTATAGCTAAAATCCCACAGTGAGGGCATTATCCATACAGAAAGCATCTGCTTAGATCAGGGGTGTACCAAGAGTGGTATCCAAGTGGGGGGAACTGCATTACATCTACAACAGGTAAGCTCTTCACCCTGAACTTAGTTCCTGTATTAAAAATGGAATAGTAGATGAATAATCATCATTATAGGCCAACCCCAACCAGATAGCTGAGGTTCCACAATTCGGGGTTGGAATTAAGGGGTCTTGGTTCCTATATCCCACGTTGATGGCTAGGACAATTGGACTGCAATGTTATATACAGATATACTTTTTATTGGATCTCAACCTGTAGCCATAGAGTGATGTGTTCCAAACCACCAGAATCACAATGTGAAAGTAAGCAACAACTAAGCAGACAAACTTTCTCCTCCACCTGAAGAAGTCCAAAAGGCAACACCCCAGGCTCGGAATGACGGAATCGTGTATGCCTTACTCAACCAAAGGAACAGAAATCATCTGGTCTAGAATAATGAACATTCATCCTCACTCTCCAACCAAGTGGGCAAGGAGCATTCCACTTATCCCTGGAATTATGGAGAGGATGTGGAACACTGTATTCAACCAAGTCACTAGAAGGAATGGTGGGGACAGAGATAGGAGTAGACGTTGACTTGTCAACTCAGTTATTCATTGAAGACAAAAGACTCTTCACATAATGCAAAAAAGACACTGAAGGTGGCATGGAAAGGTCCATCTGCACTCCCACTGTAGCAATGAAGAAGAGTGCAGTGGTATATTTCCGAGATGGAGTAGGGGACAATAACTTCCGAGCCTCGAGGTAAGAAACATTGCTAACAGTTTTTAAATGCTGTACCTCTTTCTTCTCCACTCACTAAGGACAACATCTATAATAAGAGGGGTGGGAACTACTACAATTAACACAGTGAGGGCCCAGTATGCACTAGTAGGCATTGTGGTCTATGCCACCACAATGAGCACACGTCACAGAACCACAACAAGTTGCCTTTGAATGACTGAACCTGCTGACACTGGAAACATCTGAGAGGGTTGGGAATATATGGCCATTCTTTACACTTCAAATAATTTGCTTTGTCAGCAGCAGGTGGATGTTGCGATGTAAAGGTTAAAAGAAGAACATTGATAGGCAGCATAATTCCTTCTTTATGAGTGGAGATATGTTGCACTGCAGAAACTCCTAGGCTGGAGAAACCAGCAAGAAGCTGTGACTCGGGGATGTTCTTCAAATCCCTCTGAACAATAACCTCTCGTGAGGAATTCAAAGTAGCATGGGGAGTAATTTCAATTGGTATATCCCCAATGATCTTCAAATTCAAGAGAAGTTCGCTGTGTCTTGGTGTAGATGTTTCCACCAAGATGTCCCCAGAATGCAGCTTTTTGACTGACTTTGTAGAGCCAGCAAGCCTCTTTAATCCCTTTTGAATAAAAAAGGGGAGACATTTGTCCTAAAGGTTTTTCTGACAAGGAATGCAAAATCAAAAAATGAGTTACAGGAGCAAGATGAGTTGAAAATCGATGTTCAGAGTCTTCAAGGTGTGGCCATTTACCAATACGCTGAGTTTTTACTATTTTATTTTTTGAAGATTTGGGGGATCCATAGTATAAGAAGAAAGATTCAGTACCCATTGACCCAACCTACCATGGGGTCCTACAAGGGAATGCACTACAATGCCAGGGTTTCATGAGCACTATACCCAAATACCAGCATCAGACACAATGTCCACAACACAGAAGCACAGAAGAAACCAGTCTGATGGTGCCCTTAATGAGAAGGACTTGAACTGCTTCTGTAAGACACTGGTGAGAAACAGGATCTTAAGGGGGGGGGGAATAAACTGGGACAGGGAAAAATGGGAGGAAAGGGAGAGTCTTTCTGACAAAACTCAAATGACCCAAGGGTCAGGGTTGGTTGTAAAAGTCTTCCACACTTCTGAAAAATGAGTGAGCCTGGCTCCCACAGGACCCAAAACCATAGGGTAGTCACTGGTAATTCTGACATCATACAGGGCATAGGTGAACAATGGTACACCATGTAGATGTGGTCTGGGAAGGAGGAACTGGTAAAGGAAAAAAATGATGAGGACAGTAAGTGGGAACTGAAGAAGAAGGAGGTTGGGAGAATGAGAAGTAAGGGAAGTGTGCAATCTAGCTTATTCAGCAGGAGACCCCAAAGTGTCTGGAAGCCCACCAAAGATCCTAGATCTCAGAAAAGGGGCTGATAGAAGATCTCACAAGGAAGTCGGGGAGAGATGCACATGTGTCAACAAAGAATCCCAACTCAAGAAATCCCAGCAACACAGGAGCCAAGCATGGAGGGAAAGGACAGATGAAGACAATCTGAACAAGTGGTGAGTAGGAGGATATGGGCTTCTGCCAAAAAAACCCTTGGGAGAATGATGGAAAGCCTCAGCAACAGGTGAATGGATGACAAATAATGATGGGAACAATGTGAAGGAGAAATGGAGGTGTGCAAATTATGCTTGAGCTAAATGCACTGAATTGTCAGGGTCCAAACCCTAATGGGAAGAAGTGAATCCAATCATTGTCTAACGAGAAAGCTTTGGCTGAATGATGATATGCAAGTGTATGAACCACTGCAGAACATGAGGGGCATGGCATACTAGCCCCCACACTTATTTGTTCTGCAAAATGTTTGGCATGGACCCCAATATCAGGCAAAGTGAGGAAATCAAAAACTCAGAACTAGGTGCTGCAGTTAATAAGGTAAGGGAGGGATCAATTGACAAGGGTGACAAAGACAAAATACAATATATCAAAAATGGTGGCTGATAATTGAGTGAGAAATAGAATTCACTAACAAATAAAGAAATCAACTCGATAATGGATTATAAACAATACACTGAAATGTGAAAATTAGTTACTGAATATTTTCAAAATGCACTAAAGAAAAAAAAAGTTCTGAAATCAAGCAAAAGATCTTAACACTGTCATGCCAAATCTCGAAGTGAAGATTGGGTTGAATTGCAAAGAGGAAATCAGCTGTGATAGGAGGGTGTGTTACACTCCTATTGGTGGAGGGTTGTCACATGCTAATTTGCACGCTTAACTACAGCTGAACCATGTGGAAGTGGGAGTTCGAAGCTGGTGGTGAGTGAAAATTTGTGCACTAGAGGGCAGTCAAATCGAAAATAGCTGTTATTGTGAAAGGAGGTAAATAATTATATCAGAAACTGCATTTAAGCCTTTACCTATCAATGCATTTTAATATTTTTGCAATGAACGTATTTTTCAGCATACTATTTGTTTCAAAGATAGAACTAAACTCAATCTATTTGTTACAAAGATAGAACTAACTCAATCACCATGAACGTTTCAATTCAAACAGGGTAATTCTTTCTCTTTATAGAAATTATGAATTATTTGTTATGTTGCAGTGGAGGGATACAAAATGACAAGTTATTAGTAAACATATTTTTCCTGTGATTGCTTTCAAATCTAGCATAAGAATGGAAATATGAATTTTATTTAGATTTATACGTGCATAACATATGCAAGTTTTTGAATAATAGAGAGTAAAATTTCAAGAATACATGAACAAAGTAAGATTTGAAGTACACACTACTTAATGAACACTGCATACTCAATATTTTAAAGAACAATTTTTGATTAGTTTAATATAAATAGCCATTTTTTTAAAGACTACAGTAGTTAAAATACTGGATCATTTTATCTTTGGTGAAAAAAAGTTATAAAATATGTAATGAATTTGTTGTCATGTATTTATTTTTAATATGAACGTTGTGTAGATTAAGTTTGTATTTAGAAATATGCGTAACTTATAGCGTTGGATATGTATTGCGTGTAACAAATTTGTTATATATTTATTTTAATGACGTATGTTGGGATTGAGTTTATATGTAAAAATGTGCCTAGCTCACAGTGTCAGTTATGCATGGCGAAACTCCCGCCAATTCTCCAAGATTGTAGAATATTCGTGAATGCAAGAATTGACAATATATCCACTTCCGTAACCGGTTAAATATAGTTCAGTGTTGTCCAAACTTTTGAGAATGACATTTCCCACTCATATAAAAAGACCAAGGCCAAAAAAGAAAGTATATAAGTCTGCTAGGAACCTGTTATAACCATGTATGCTATAAAACGTGATTTTGCTAACTTTCAACCAGAAAATATACAACATTTGACCAGGAACAGTTACAAATTTCGAATGTCAGTGGATTTTCATTGGACGTTAGTATCTTTCCGAAAGTATTACTGAATTCTCATCGGACATTGGTGGTTTTATGAAAATATTATCTTACTTCAACGGTCCAACAATTCAGTGTCTGACAAAACTAGCTAGCTTCTCAGCAATTGTACGTACATCGACTTCAAGTTAACTCTCTGGATATCAAGGAGACTCTGAACTAGAAAGAAGAAATTTTGTGTTGTTTGTAAGTTAGTAAAATTTTTGTTTTATAAATCTTTGCTTGTGGTAACTATTCGTAATAATTGTTGTTGTAAATTGTACTGTTGTATATATATTGTGTGAAAAACGAAAACGGTGTGTGTCAATCTTGTTGACAAATAGCGTAAATTAACTAAAATATCAGCTTCAGACTATTTTAAATTCTCAATATGTAACAAATACAAGGAATTACTTGTAGTTATCCTCTTCCACAAACTTTTGTAGTTCTTCTATGTATTGTACAGACATTAAGTAGTTTTGAATATGTGGAAGAACTGGAAGTTGGTCTGAAAAAACAAAAAAAGTTAAAGACTTTAAGTATAAATAAAATATATTTTTGTTATAAAATTTTCATTTCAAATAATAAATTACATTATAAAAAGGCAGATCTGCATATTTTAATTTTTGATCAACAGTCAAAATTTTGCATATCTAGATACACTAAATAAATCACTTTCTCTCTATTTTTTCATTGAAAAAAAAAAAGAGTGTCATATGCATGACTTATACTTAGGTTTTTCCTTAATATATTTACTCAACTGAATCACTTATACATATATGGTGTGATTTTAAAGTAAGCTAGTTTCAATGTTATACTGGTACTGATAAGTGCAAGATACCCTCAGCTTTAATTCAAACATACACATATAAGAAGCATACACATTATAAAACAAGGAAACTAAGAAGAGTTTACAAGAAAAAAACATCAACACCTACAACTCTTAGTTGTGCATTACTGTCCAATTTATTCACAAACACAGAAATATAATTACTTAAAAAATATTAATTTTTTAATATAAGTATACTTTTCTACATCTTCCTTTCTGATTTAGTACAATAAATAAATAAATACATATATCTAAATTTCATTTCAATAATATAACAAAAACAAAACATTAATATACCTAAATCTGTTACTTGTATGATGGCATTTTAAAATGTACCAATATCACCTTTACCACTACTGGTGGTACAGCTTTAACAGACTCTTAGCTATCATCATACATTTTTCCACCATTAAAGTAATAAAATATGCCAGAATGAATATGAAATTCTCCCCTTTCAAGTGTCTAAAATTTCTACATCAAATATCTTACCCTAAAAATTGATTATTTTTTTTATAAAAACAGAAAAATCTTCTAACATCAAACAAAAAAGAACTTGTAGATGACAGAACTTAAAATTTAATTTACAATCAGAAAAGTTTTAGGAAGAATACAAAACATTCTTCAATTTCATATTGAACATTTATTATATCAAACAGAAATGTTCACTAACTTATAGCATCCATCAACATTTCAAGAGATCGTTCGTAATATGACAACCGTGAAAGCTGAAGTTAGAATCACTATTATATTATAACAGTCAGCAGCTTCTTACAAGAGCAGTCACTATTTAACACCAACTGATTTCACACATGAATAAGATCTAGCAGCTTCTGATAGAATCATTCAGAACAATCAGACACAATCACTAACAATCTTAAAATAGTTATCAACGTCAAATTGGGTTGTTAACCACACTACAACACCTTACAAACAATTTTGAATTATACAGCTCTTCAATAATTTTCAAATTCAGATAAAATTGTTACCCATATACCACCAATCTCATACTTCAGATGGGATAATTCATCAAATAGTAAAATTCAAAAACTGATGACAGACTATGCTATAATAAGACATCACTCCTAATTTTCACATACACCTATGCATTAATTAAAAACATCCATGAGTTTCAGACAGAATCATTCCCCACCTGATGACATAACAATACCAACCAATATCATACTCCATTCAGAAAATCCTTGAGTTTAAGACAGAAGTGATCAACATGTCACAACTATCAAATTTAGTTACAACTCTGCTAATTAGGGATAACATCACTTACCATTTGATGAATATCAAGAATTTTTTCTTTCAGTCCACTTACCATATTTAGAATGTTGTGAGTCAGATATTATTTTAAGAATATTATTCATCTTCATATGACGCTGTTGGTTCTTTAGTCCCTCTAATTCTGGGTATGCAACATCTATGTATACAAGGTCTGTCAAGTATATACCTATAATAAAATGGTTATGTATTTCAAATTTAGATTAGAAGAATAGTTACTAAGCTAATACAAGCTACTATTATAAATATGGTAATTTTCTTGCTACTAAAATTACATACATAATGATAAAAACATTATAAAACAGTTTCCTGGAGGACTGTGGTTTATGCAACCTAAATAAGACAATTTCAAATATTTCTTGCATGTGATAACTATGACCATTTTAGCTACAAAATGCTCTTTGTCTAATACATTTTAATAATGACACAGGGTACAATAAGTTATATTAAAACAATTCTGAATATGCAAATCAGCAAGTCAGGTAACAACCACAGCAAATACAGTGTCTTGGTGAAACGGAATGTATCAGAATTATATTTTGACATTGTTTAGTGTTCCTTAGGTAGTGTGATGCCACCAAAAATTTGGAAAATTATGTAACAGTCCTTTCTAACACAAAATAATATTCATACACTCAGATCATAAAAATATGTTAAAATTGGGGACTTAGAATTTTTCAAGATGGGGATATCCATTGTACTTAATGGCATTGGAAAAGAAAGAAATACAAATCAACTTGGGGAACCAGGACCATCAAGAAAGACATCTGCAACAAGTAAAATGCAACATTTTCTAACAGGTGAGATTCCACAAAACAAAGATTAGTGGCAAAAGCCATCCATGTGCCCCAAGCAAAAATAAATAATGTGGCTAAAATAACTCTTCCAAACATACCTTCCATTAAACCCTTAAATATTTCAAGTAGCTCGAGAATGAAACTGGTATTCATTATTTCATATAACACAACACCTATGGATTTCTGTTTGATCAGGCTTTTTGAAAAAGGCACAGGAAAATCATCATCTCTGTACACTAGATGGACTATGGAAAACCTGCAGGTTATGGCCACCTTATGACAGAATATTTTGCAATGGAAGCTACTCAGCAGGGCTATTATAAAGATGCACAGTCATCAGATAGAGCATGACTGGACTTGTTGACATGGAGTATAATGATGTGGTGAAGATTCAAAATGATTTTGATATAACATACTCAACTGTAATATCAATAGCTTGAATTGAGTATGATTTCAGACAAAATTGTTTTAACATATACTACTAAAGTTAATTCACCCTTTCTCGACCAGAGGGGTGTCAGATGTCACTGATATCTCTCAATGTTTTTCTTTCTCCCAGTAGAAATATTTAACCAAATTGTATGAAGCTTAGTTTTGGCTTAAAAAATGAAAATATTTTGATTCAGCATTTCTATAATTTTTTGTCTCAAAATCTAAATTTTTTTTAGATCAAATCAAATCAAATTCATGGCAAGAATTTAGGTTTAAAAATCTTTAAGGTCTCAGAATTAATTTCTGGGACCTGAAAAACAACCCGGGGTGGTCAGAAACATTTTTTTCTCTTCACCCCACATGTTGGGAGATTAGATGCTAAACAAATTTGTATGGAGCCACTGGGCTTAGTTTAGATATAAGCATGTAAAGAGAAATTTTGATGGGCAAGTGGAGTTATGGAAGATGCTGACTCAAGCAGGCTGGGAAAGCCACGAAGAGTTGCAGTTGGCATGGAACATGTGTGGTTGTTTATCCACATGGCAATTACATCAGTTGAATAGAGCAGTCATCATCACAGAAGGAGCAGGGAGATGCAGACTGAGTGAACTCTATTTTGTTTTGATAGATTGCATTGTAGAAACTTTATTAAAGTTAAGGAGATTTTATAGAATTTTTATAATAAACTATGACTAGTTAGTCATGGTGGTTAGTCTCATGGACTTACTAGATTAACGGTCCTTTTCAGGAGGTATGGGATAGAATATTCTACACCCTGTGAAATATTGTTGCAGGGGGAAACTGGATTGTCCAGAGAAAACCTGGTTTTTACGGGTTAGGCACCAGATAATCTACTTGACCCATGCCCAAAATGTGAGGCTAAAAAGGAATGAAAGGATTGGTTTGTACATGAATGTTATACACTGTTGATATAGTTGAATGGAGAAATGTACGTTTGCCAGGTAGAGGGTATGGCTGCTAGGACGGGAAAGATACTTGTTTAACTGTTTCTGTTTCGGGCTTTACTGTAATATTTTTGGGCTAGAGTGTGAATACAGTCTTCAATGACAGGTATATTGGTGAGGTTATTGACGTAGATTTGTGGGGCATATTTGGGGAGACAGAATGCTGTTTTGATCACAGTGGCCTGTTGCCGTTGGATCATTATATATACTGTGTTGGGCATATTACATGTAATGGGGCATCTGTATTCATAGAGAGGTCTGATGTAATCTTTGTAGATTTTGATGATAGAGTGGCTATTGCATTCTGGTGCTTGTCTTTTTGAGAGTGTTGTTATAGTGAGTGGTCCATTATAGGCATGAATTTAATGTGATACCTAAAAATTTGGCAGTAGTCTTAAAGATGACTAGGGTGTTGTATATTGTGAGATTGAGTTTTCTGAATTTCTTATATTGTTTTCCTATTTTTCTGTGAAATGCTATTGCCTGTGTTTTGATTGGGTTGATAAGTACTTTCCATCTGTTACACCATTGAACAAATTGATTTAATGTATCTTGGACTCTGGATGCAGCAGTGAGCGGGTCACGTTATGTGCTCCAGATGGCAATGTCATCAGAATACTGAGAGATGAGTGTATATAGTAGCCGCAGAAGCAGTATGTCATTCATAAAGAGGATGCAGAGTAGAGGGCTGAGGACAGAGCCCTGGGGACTCCTGCTTTCAGTGAGAATGTATTGGACATGGAATTGTTAACCTTAACTTCAGCAGTTCTGTTGGTGATAAAGCTAGAGAGTCATTTCATAAATGGAATAGGAATTCTGTTATTAGATAGCTTATACTTTAGTGCATTATGCTAAACAGTGTCGATTGTTTGTTTTACATCCAGAAAGCCTACAACTGTGGAATGATTATGATTAAACCCTTGGTGTATAGTTTTGACTAATCTTACTAGGTAGTCAGTTGGTCATTGTTGAGAATGTTGTTAGTTTCTGGGTAATATTGTAATCTGTTAGATATAACTTTTTCCACACGCTCCAAAAACTAAGATCAGCCATGCACCACCACACACTGAATGAAGAAAGAGCTCTTAATCTGTCAATCCTTCCAGTATTGCAGTAGTCACTACTCTCACTACAAATCATGAAAAAAAAACCAGTAAAAACTGAGAAAAATCTCCTAGAGACCTAGGATGTGACCTTTTTAAATAGCATTACAATTACCTTTCTCAAGTTAGTTATCGTGACTTTTGCTAACAATATTTTTGGCCAACATCAATTTATATCTAATAAACATAGTTTCTTTCCTTCATGCACATAGCCTTAAGTAGTATGGAGTGTCCACCTTTATTCTTGCTATGGGACACATTCTCACTGTCCCATTAATCAGCACACACAGATGTACCTTGCTCATCACCTGGCCATCAAATATTAGACTGATCCTCACTGCTGCATTCAGCATCTTATAGGACTTTCACTTTCTTGTCCCTAACATAACCTTCACCTACTGGCATGTTTTGGTTTGTTAGCAACTCTCAATGTTTGTCACATGCTCTGATCACCACTGGCACTGTTGACCCATTTACTAACTTGAGCTGACCATCAATCATGCACAATTTAATCATTGTGATAGCATTTCCTTCTTGTGACAAATCTGATGAACTGTCTCTATTCTGCATCTTCTAGCAGCAGCACCCATGGTGACAGTCACTCTTTTCTTGTTTTTGCCGGCACCATCTTTGTAAGTAGCTCCAGCTGCTTTATGTTGAAATTTCTGCAGTTGCTTGTTAGTGACAGATTTTGCACTCACTCGCAATGTGCCCCATTTTATTAAAAGCACATCGTCTGTCCTCCCATTTGTCTGTTGACTTCTTGTCACTTCTTGGTATCCTGCTTCTGGTCAGCCATCCTTCTTTTCAATTTAGCTGGTTATTCTTGGACCAGCCAGTTATACTCCTTCCATGGGCTACAATATACTGTTACTGTTCTGCCATCTTGATCATCTGGACCACCTTTTTTGGTGCTCTCTCTCTTTTAAGAACAGTGACATGTCAGAGGAATGCATGATTATAAACTGTTCAAAACTATTTTCACACTTGGCCATGTGAGTCTATCTTGTGAAGTATCACTGTAGACATGCCACAAACTGAAATACAATTTCTCCAGTGTCAAGTTTGACTTTTCTGAACTTCCGTTGAAAACCTTCCTTGGTAAGTCCATAGCATTTCAGCAAGGCCACTTTTAACTTGTCAGAGTCCATGGCATCTTCTGATGTTATACCCACATATACTTGTAGGCCTTTTCCTGTAAGAAGGGGCTGAGACAGACTGCCCAGTCACCTGTGTCCCAATTCTGACTTTGGGCAAATCTTTCATACCTCTCCAAGTCGTCTTTCTGTTCATCAGATTTGAGTAGCTTCGATCAGCTCACACTAACTCCACTGTCATTCTTGGGTCTGTCATCTTTCTCTTGGGTGAGCTTGGCAATCTCAATGTGTGCCCTTATTCTCTCTATTTCCAATTTCTCCTCTCTCCTTTTTCTTCTTTCTCAAGTTGTAGTCTTATTCTCTCTCTCTCTATTTTAATAATATATTAAAACAAGTCAAATGTACATACAAATGTTTGTTACAGAGTTAGCCACCACAGTTGTATCCAGAGCTTCAAATAATTATATCTTTTCATCAAAGTCCAAACAGGCTGGTTGAGTTACTTTAGAATAACAACTGACAAGATGAATTATTTATCTCTGCTCTGTTATTACCATACAATCCGTGATCATTTCCCTTTAAAGGTCACCACTATATACTCTTTACGGCTAATCACACAATCTAGATCTAGCTATCTATCTAACTAACTATATAAATAACTCAAACTACATTTTGAACTCGTATTTATAACCTGACTGAGACCTAGAACATTCTACACAATACAAGATATTATGATGCAATAATACTCAATCAAAACTAACGAGAAAAACTTAGAAGGTTCTAGTAACATGATGCAATAATACAACAAGCACCAATTCACAACAATTAAACTACACAACATATGATATGTATACAGTTACATAAACAAACCTGTGATAAACTATTGCTTCTAAGAATAATTAAACTCTCGCATCAAACTTAAATTGAAACAGTCGTGTACATCTAACACAAAGTATTATTAGCAGAATGTGAAACTACTTCCAAATAAAAGAAATGGTCATCTGAACACCTGGACTAGATAGACCATTTTCCACAACATATGCAAATGACTACTATGTTTTGCTCCTGGCTCACTTCACTCATAATGTACATGCTCTAAGATTGAATTAGATGGTCACAGTCACAACTGTATGCCATGTCCATGCACAGATGGTTCGAAATAGACTTCATAAGGTTAGCCTATATGACAGACACTTAATGAGATGCATTCTTCTCATATCAAGATGTTGAAAAGCTTGTCTGTAATGTGGCCAAGAACTTATCTAGTGAAATAACAAAATGTGGACCATATTATTTTTACAAATAATTCAAAATTCACACTGAAGTTAGATAATAGGCTTACACTCATTTAGAACTTAGAGAAAAGCTAGAACCAGATACATCATACAGGAATGTGATACACATGGTGGTGTTGTAAGCACTGGTGGACAAACTACTATTTAAGTCTTGTGGAGTATCACCATTAATGCCACACATAATAAGTAACAAATACTATGACCCATCATGCTACCATATGCTCATAAAATTGGCCTCAATTTCAGCCTAATGGGTCATAATGCCCATCTATCTCCACCATGCTAAACTGGTTGTCCCATTCTTTGAGGAAGAACAAACTGACCAAATGTAGTGGCCTTCTTTCCCATCAAGCGTGTATGGAATACTCTCGGGAGACATCACATTCTGTCAAATTACTCTACACACTAAAACAGTTCTTACAGAGGAGTGAGAAAAAATAACAGGACTTTATCAAAACTGATTTTAAGAATGCAATATCAGTGCCTGCCAACCTTTGGTTTTCTTGGTTACCATACTCTATGTTGAAGTGAAACATCAGGAGCTGTAAAAATGTAAAACTACAACACACAAATTATTTATTATTTATATTTCAGATCACATGAATAATCATCATATGCCTGTTTGGCATAAAATGTAACTGAGAAGAAGTATTGATATTATTTTATTACAGTAGTTTTGTCTTTTTTATGGGTATAACATTATAAGTTCTGATTAGTCATTAACTGTTACGAAGAGTGTGTTTCTAAATTAAATTTATGCATTTCTTTAAAAGTGTTTCGAAAGTTACTCCTAATACAAAGGAAAAAAGAAAAAAAAAAAGAGTATGATTCTACATTACTGTCAAATTCACAAACATGTTAGTACTGTAAACTTATATAAAAATATCTAGTTTCATTGATGTTATGATAATGCCCTCTACTGAGAAGAAAACAAAAATTCTAAATTTTATGGTGCTAGGTATAATGGACAATTGGATTTTTATAGTTGTTATTAATCAAATATTTATAATTCTACTTTTTTTGGGGAAAGCTAAAATCTTTTTTTCAAACTATTAGAATATTACAGTTATTTTCAGAAAGCATGTTTTTAAAAGTTTTATTAGGTTCATTCAAATCAGACTGGCAATACTTTCTGTGCAGGGAAGTGAAAGTATATGGTTTTCTGTCACTGAACCTCTTAATTAGAGAAGGTATAAAAGAAAAAGAAGAAATCTGTATACTTTCTTAAATAACCCAGCAAACTTAATATTCAAATATATAAATTTTTTTTTTCTTTACTCCACAATGATAGACATTAATATTCATGTTATATGAGAGATTGGCTTTAAACACGTTTTGTGCACTTTTAGATTTCATGATTATACTGTTTATGTTAAATTGTTCACTGGGCCAGTAACAACTGTAAGCAAGAATCTGCAAAAGCCTACCAAAGCTTACTAAAGTTTTATAAAAACACATCATTGAAATCTTGTCTTAAGTTGTGATTTTTTTTTGTGAACTAGCATGACAGTAATGATGATCTGTAGCTGCATTTATAGTCTAGAGATAAAAGATAATTAACATTTGTAATTTATGCCTAAAAGTAAGAGAAAAAATTTATAGTAGACTTAAGGAGGCCTATATTGTAAATCCCTTACACCTTTATAAGTTCATAAATTAATAAAATTATAAAGATACAAAAAAGGAGCTTATTAGCCCATCAAGGATGTCCCTTCCAGCTCCCAACTATAAACACCCCTTTACTCATGTATTCAACCAATCTTTTCTTGAACTCAGTTAAATTTTCTACCTCTTACATCCTTGAAGGCAGCTCATTCCAAAAGCCAACCACCCTATCTGAAAAGCACTACTACTATCTAAACCGTGGACAACTCCTATGCTGCCAAAATTTGAATTTATGACCTCTTGTTTTCAGTGATAAACACAAAAAAGTTTGATGGATCTATATTATCAATACCCTTAATAATCTTAAACACCTCAATCAAATCCCCTCTGACTCTTCTCCTCTCCTGAGAAAACAAGTTTAGAGATTTTAGTATTTCATCATAGGACAATCCCATCGTCCCAGGTATCATCATAGTGGCTCATCTCTGAACCTTCTCCAACAGTTGAATGTCCTTCTAGTGGAAGGGAGCCCAAACTGAAACCTTACAAGTGATCTATACAGTGAAACAATATTATCCCTTGTCTTGTATTCAATAT